ACTCAGACCAGCCCTTCTGGCACCAACAACCATGCCACGTTCAAAGGCACTCAAATCACCTTTCTTCCCCATACTGATGCTCGGTTTGAACTGCAGCAGATCATCTTGGTCATGGTTTAGGGTCAGATCCAGCAGGTGGAACCAGAGCCTCTGTTAGGTTGAATCAGTCCTGGATTCTGACTCTGCTCTGACCCTGCAGGGTGACTCCGGCGGACCCCTGGCCGTCAACAACCCCAGTGGGCGRGCCTTCCAGGCGGGCGTGGTGAGCTGGGGCGAAGGCTGCGCCTTTAGGAACAAACCGGGCATCTACACCCGGGTCACCAAGTACCGGGCCTGGATAAAGCAGCACACCGGGGTTTAGGATTGTTTATTGGTTGGATTCTGGTCTTCAGATCAAACTTTGGGTTTCCTGTTTTGATTTATCACATTTGAGTTTTTTTCCTTTGTGGGAATTAAAATATTGGAAGCTGGAGATAAACCTGTGAAATGTCCAGATGTGAAGATTTTTAAAGAATAAATCAGCTGATTGAGGAGCTTCTGTTTGAAGATACCAAATATTCTCAGGGTCAAACTTCAGTTTACAGATGGTGGGATGTGATGGAACACCTGGTGAACAGGTGAAGTGTAAATAAAAATGGAAGCTCATGTACGCCAAAATAAAAATGTAATAGTTTTTTTATAAATACAGTATGAGTTTCTAAGTCATCATTATGTCATAAAAACAAGATACAAAGTTTGAACCATGACACAAAGAAGTATACACAATAACTAAGGTTAATCGATGACTAAACAAAAACTGATCCATGTCATCATGATGTGGGTTATATGTCCATCTAACACAAAATGTCCCATTTTGTTAGTTTTTTTATCCTCTTTAGTGGCAGAAATGATCTTCCATATTTTATCTGTCAGCTGTTTTCTTCCCTTCTAGATGTTTAACTTCTAAAGAATCTTAAATGAGCCTGGAATATTTTTTTATTGTCAGTCCAACAGAACTCCTAAAACTTCAAGTAGAAATTGTTTTCAACTAATTGGATCAGGTTTGATTTATAACTTAAACAAAATCATTTGGATTTGATCCTTTTTTATCGCAGTACAATATTTTTTAATTATGTCGTGTGAAAGTTTAAATTTGTCTAAAAAAGATTGTGACCAAGAGGTCTTTTTAAACCATGTTTTTAAAAATATGTTGATAAATAAAAAGGAGAAATGTTTCTAAAACAAAAAATAAAAAAGCCTCTTTGCTACTTCCAGACAAACAAGTGATGTTTTACTGCGGTGTTCCTCAGGGATGTGTGATCGGTCCTTTAAAGCTTCAAGGGATCAGAAAATTATTTGTTGTACTTTTAATTCTTTAATGAAAGCAGATGTGATGAAACCCTGAGAAGTTCCTGTTTCCAGGCCAAAACAGAACAAATCTTGTAAGAACATTTTTTAATAATTTACATAAATATTGAAGTTTAGTAATGGGTTAGTAGTAAATATTTAATGTTAGTGGGTTACAACAGTTCTCTTTAAATCTTTTTAAATAAATTAATGTATTTTTATATTTCACATCTTGTTTAAACTTTATCTGTGATTTCTTGTTTACAGGAATAAATGGGTTTTTACCTCTTATTTTTTKTGTTTTATGTTTGTTGTATTTTGATGTACTTTAGTAATGGCAGGACTGTGAATATTTTGACCACGGTGTGCCTTTTTATAAAACATTTATTTCAAATAAAACATTTTCATTAAAAAATCTCCATAGTGAATGGAACTGATTGAATTTTTCCCCTTTATGTTTTAAAGTGTTTTTTTTTTATTTTCAAGTGTTTTGAATTGTGTTGGAACCTGAAGAAGGAAACAGATTTAGTTTCTGTAATAAAACAGACATCAGGCTGAAGAGTGACAGTGTTTTTATTCGTATAAGAAGACTCCGCCCCAACACACACCTGCAGTTACAGCTGGTGCTTAGTGCCCAAAAAACACTAAGAACAATAGTAACAGTTCAAATATAAAGTGAAAGACTTCATAGAAAAACCAGCATTAAAGTGTTGGACAGCAGGGGGCGCTGTCGCTGAAGGTTCCTGCCCAACAAACTGATGTGATTTACTCAGCAGAGAATAAAACAAAGTTCAGGTTTATTCAGCTGCTGAACAGATTTAATGTTTCCAAAACTTTAACAGAAAATATGTGACTGACTGCAGGTGGGCAGAAAGAAGTACTTTCATTGTGACACACACCATCATCTAAATGTGTCAGCAAAATATCTGGTTAACCACAGGACAGATGTGAAGGAATCTGGAGTCAGAACAGTTCAAGATGGCTGCCAGAGCTGACCTGTCAGCTGAACAGGTGCTGGGCCCAACACAGACTCTACAGGATCTGAGTCCAGAAGGTTCTGTGTCTCCACCTGGATTCAGGTTTGAATCTGGAGTGTTTGGACCTGAAAACTGGTTCTGGTTCAGTTCCTTCAGCTGAGATTAGAACCTTCAGCCTGTTTGTCTGAAGAAACTTTAGTTTCTGCTGAGTTTTGGTTCACAGAAGATAAAACCTGCAAACTGCAGAACCCAAACCCAGAACCGACCCGATCCAGTTCCCTGTGGTTTCTAATCTGATGTGAGAGAAGTCAGCTGAATGTTGGACCTCAGAGAGGTTCTGGTGCCTCTCAGTTTGCAGGTTTTTCACACATTTTATACAAACAGTCCTAAACGTGAGTGCAAAGTCATGCAACAGAACCGGGTCGAGAAGAACCGGGTCGAGGTCAGACTGCAGAGGAGAAGATGGTTGCTACAGAAGCTACAGATGCAGAAGAGGTGGAGTGCAGAAGGTTCTGAAGGATTAAAGGTCCGGTGGTTCTGACAGGAAGACATGAAGCTCTGAGCAGAACCTCAAACCTGAGACGTGTTCCTTCATGTTCCACAGACGAGTCGCAGCTTTCAGCTGCTTCTCAGTCTGAACTCAAAGATCAAACTGCAGCTTCGATTCTGGAAACAAAGTTTGACTTTAACTGAACCAACGACAGAAACAAGAAGCATCAGATAAACTCACATTTAGTCAAAAACACCGACATGTTTCAGCCTGATGTTCCTGAGAACCTGCAGCAGCCCCTCAGAGGTCACCTGTGCTGTGAGGTCACCTGTGCTGCGTGTCGGTGTTCATCACATGAACTACGTTACAATAAGCTGATTTTACAGTACCGATCCTCTCTGAGGTCAAAACATCTGGACTCACGGGTCTGAAAAGTTCTTCAGGAGCTGCTGGACCATGAGCTGTCCTGTGTACACCTGCTGGTGGCCCAAAACCAGGCCCCGAGCCACGGTTTGATAAACAACCTGTCCAGAGGGAAGTTCAGCTGCTCAGGTGAGGCGTGGACATTTTCAAACAGAAACAAGAAAACATAAAAATCCAAAACTTATTTTGATGTTTCAGTCTAGAAATCAGAACTTCACAGTAGCCCCTCCCCTTTTTCAATAACTAACTATAACCCCGCCCCTTCCTACATTAACTACCTATAACCCTGCCCCTTCCTCCACTAACTAACTATAACCCCGCCCCTTCCTCCACTAACTAACTATAACCCCGCCCCTTCCCCCAGCAGCTGATAACTGTGACCCCACCCCTTCCCCCTGCAGCTCGTGGGTTTTTTACCCCTCAGTTTGTCTGTCAGGCTCCTGAATGAGTCACAAGGTGTCCTTCCTCCTGCAGCTACCACATGTAGGTCTTGGTGGTGTTTATCTGACTCCCTCCGGCCTCCTCCTCGTCTCTGCCTCCCACCTGCCCTCCCATCTCCTCCTCCTTGTCGTCTTTGTCCTTCTCGGCCTCGCTCTCCCACAGCGTGATGAGCGGCGGGTACAGCTCGTTCAGAGGGATGGATGTGGCGTGCTGCATGAACACCTTCAGTGAGTGGCCGCAGGTCTTGTGCTGCTGCACGCGGCGCCCCATGTAGACCACCAGCAGCGCCATGATGGACAGGGCGAACATGGAGCCCATGACGGCCGCCAGCGCCACGCTGCTGCGCCGCGACGCCATCAGCTCCACAGAGAAACCCGCCTCCCTGGTGGTGACGTTCAGGCAGGAGGTGTGGACGGGAGAGGACGGGACGGGGGAGGCGGGGCTGGGGGCGGAGCTGGGAGGAGGTGTCGGGGAGGAGGAGACGGTGAGACAGATGTGATACTCTGTTGCAGGAAGGAGGTGCGTCAGGTTGTACTCCTGAACATCAGCAGGGACCTGAAGGGGGAGGAGCAGAGGAAAAGGTGGGCGGAGTCTGGATCCACTGGTCAACATAAGAACCTAAAAACTGAGTCCAGAACCGACCCGGTCTTKCTCACCTTGGCAGTGTAGCTGATCTGAGAGTTGTCGATGTGCACGACGGCGCTGGTCCAGCGGGGCAAAGGGAGGGGCGTGTTGTGCTCACTCAGATCCACAAAGGAAGCCCCCCTGCTGGGGTACAACTTCCACTCCAACACCACCGACTGGGCGTGAACCACCTGACAGGAAACAGGAAGTAGCAGGTTGGTATGGAGGTGGTTTGACTGGACCTGAGTCCTGGGGGGTGGGGACTCAGGGGTTACCTTAGCCAGGATCACCAGAGAGGCTGTGGTGCTGGACCAGTTCCCTGGATAGAACTGGTCCCTCCTGGGCTCATCGCCCCGCTGCACCCCGTCTCTGGACCAGGATCTGTCAGAGCCCTGAGGGTCCACGGACACAGAGACACTCTTGGTGTCGGCTCCCTCCATGTTCCAGGCCACACAGGTGTACACACCTGGAACAGAGCTCAGGTGAAGGYGTGGCTCTGCACACTGAGCAGCTCAGGCAGCAGCAGCACAGACTGACCTGCATCTGACGGGTCCGCGTGTTCGATCACCAACGCTCCGGGCTCGGACAGCCGGTGCTTCTTCCTCATCCTGTTCAGGCCACGCCCCTCCTCTGATATGATTGGTGCAGCCACGGCCTCAGAGCTCACCTGAACAGGAAGCAGGTATCAGACCCATGTTCAGTTCTGGATTTATTAGTTCTGAAAATTAAAGTTCTTCAATTCAAGTGACTTTTTTTTTATATCCACATTTTCAACTGTCCCCGCCCCCAACATCATAGCCCCGCCCACCTTGTCCCCAGTCGGTGTCACCCAATAGAACTGAGGGGCGGGGTCAGCATCTGCCCAACACTCCAAGGTGATTGGCTGTCCCACGCTGACGTTCACGGTTGGAGGAAAGGCGTGAGGAGAGATGTGAGGCAGGCAGCTGTTGGCTCCGCCCCCGCCCCATCCATTTGCCACCACCTCCTGTAGTTCTCGGCCAATCAGGTGCGGCGGGAAGGAGCAGACGGTGACGGAGGACTCCAGCAGCTTCAGGTGTGAGCGGTTGCCGAGGTGAGGACCCCAGGAGGTGAGGCAGTCGCAGCGCAGGGGGTTGGAGCGCAGAGACACCTCCTCCAGGGCCGGCAGGGCAGAGAGGAGGTCCCCTGAGAGGAGGCTCAGCTGGTTGTTGTGGAACAGAAGGGTCCGGAGGGAGGACAGGTCCCTGAGGGGGCGGAGACAAGAAGAGCTGAAGCAGGCTGGGAAAACCATGGCTTCACCACACCTGAGAGATGGACTCACCTGAAGGCCTGAGGGTCCACGTAGGACAAACGGGGGTTGTTGCTCAGCTCCAGTTTGACCAGTTCTGGAAGGTTCTGGAACGCTTCATGCTCCACCATCAGTAGGTCATCCATGTTGTTCAGACTGGAGGTCCAAACAACCAAACAAACACAAAATACACAAAAATATTAAACAGAACCAATCAGATTCAATCAGACCCAACATACAACCAATCGGAACCAACCAGAATTAATCAGAACCAACCAGAACCAATCAGATTCAATCAGACCCAATTATATCCAAACCAGAACAAATCAGATCCAAATCAAATCCAATGACAACCAATCAGAACCAACATAAAACCAATCGGAACCAACCAGAATCAATCAAATCCAATCACAACAAATCAGGACCAACTCATAACCAATCAGAACCAACCAGAACCAATCAGAACCAACCAGAATCAATCAAATCCAACCAGAACCAATCAGATCCAACTCGGAACCAATGAAAACCAATCAGAACCAACTCATAACCAATCAGAACCAACTCATAACCAATCAGAACCAACCAGAACCAATCAGAATCAACCAGAATCAATCAAATCCAACCAGAACCAATCAGATCCAACTCGGAACCAATGAAAACCAATCAGAACCAAATCAGAACCAATCAAATCCAATCAGAACCAATCAGAACCAATCCGATCCAATCAAATCCAATCAGAACCAATCAGATCCAATCAAATCCAATCAGAACCAATCAGATCCAATCAGAACTAATCAGAATCGATCAGAACCAAGTTAAGTTTAGAAACATAAAGAATCGGGTCAACTTGGTGAAACAACTGGACCAGAATCAAGCTTTGGTTCTGGTCCGTGTTGTCAGACGGACCTGAGCTCCTCCAGGTGCTGAAGGTTCTGGAAGTCTCCCCGTTGAATCCGGCTGATGGGGTTTCTGTTCAGATCCAGGAACTTCAGGTTCGGGAGCACGCTCAGAGCGTCCCGTGGGACGGACCTGCAGAACCGACACACAGGAGTCAGCTGTGACCCACCTGGACCCGTCAGAACCTGAGTGTGCTCCCAGACCCACCTGAGCCGGTTGTCGTAGAAAGAGAGACTCTCCAGGTAATCAAGGCCCATGAAGGCCGTGGACGGGACCGAGACCAGACCCATCCCGGCCAGAACCAGGCTGTGGAGGCGGGACAGAGGCAGGAAGTTCTTCTCCTCCAGACCCAGTATGGGGTTCTCCCCGATCATCAGGATCTCCAGAGACGGCAGGGACTCGAACCAACGGCTGTCGATGGCCACCAGACGGTTGGAGTTCAGGTGGAGCCTGGGGACAGAAGCCGGGTCCTGAGTGGACTCATGGGACAGAATCTGGACAACAAGTTCTTCAGGTTCTACAGGTTCTACATGTCCTACAAGTTCCTCAGGTTCTACAGGTTCTACGGGTCCTACAAGTTCCTCAGGTTCTACAGGTTCTACAGGTTCTACAAGTTCTTCAGGTTCTACAGGTTATTCAGGTTCTACATGTCCTACAAGTTCTTCGGGTTCTACATGTCCTACAAGTTCCTCAGGTTCTACAGGTTCTACGGGTCCTACAAGTTCCTCAGGTTCTACAGGTTCTACAAGTTCTTCAGGTTCTACAGGTTATTCAGGTTCTACATGTCCTACAAGTTCTTCGGGTTCTACATGTCCTACAAGTTCCTCAGGTTCTACAGGTTCTACGGGTCCTACAAGTTCCTCAGGTTCTACAGGTTCTACAAGTTCATCAGGTTCTACAGGTTCTACAAGTTCATCAGGTTCTACAGGTTCTACAAGTTTTTCAGGTTCTACAGGTTCTACAAGTTCTTCAGGTTCTACAGGGTCTACGGGTCCTACAAGTTTTTCAGGTTCTACAGGTTCTACAAGTTCTTCAGGTTCTACATGTCCTACAAGTTCTTCAGGTTCTACATGTCCTACAAGTTCTTCAGGTTCTACAGGTTCTACGGGTCCTACAATTTCTTCAGGTTCTACAGGTTCTATGGGTTCTACAGGGTCTTCAGGTTCTAATCATACCTGAGGAGGTTAGTGAGACCAGCAAAGGCTTTGGGTCCAACAGAGGAGATCTGGTTGTGGTTTATATAAAGTTCCTCCAGGCTGGACAGGTTCCTCAGGCAGAAGTCCTCCAGCTCCTCTATGTGGTTCTCCTCCAGGTACAGAGTCACCAGGTGTTCCAGAGAGGACACACCCATGGAGCTCACCTGGACAGAGACAGAAACCGTCCCACTGTGATGCTGAACCAGCCACGAGACAAAGTGAGGAGGACAGGAGGTGAGGAGGACATCAGGTGAGGAGGACAGCAGGTGAGGAGGACATCAGGTGAGGAGGACAGCAGGTGAGGAGGACAGCAGGTGAGGAGGACAGCAGAGGAGAACAGTAGATGAGGAGGACAGTAGATGAGGAGGACAGTAGATGAGGATGACAGCAGGTGAGGAGGACAGCAGGACAGCAGGTGAGGACAGCAGAGGAGGACAGCAAGTGAGTCACCTGTGTCAGGTGGTTCTGGGACAGGTCCAGCTCTGTCAGGTTCCTCAGGTTCTGGAGTTCGAAGGTGATGGATGAGATGTTGTTGCTCTGCAGGAGCAGGACCTGAAGACATGAATAAAACATGTTTAAGACTGTTCTTATGTCCAACATGTCCAACATGTCCTCCACTCAGAGATGCAGGGTACCTGAGTGTCAGCGGAGACGTTGGCTGGGACTCTCTGCAGGTGCAGCTCGTTACAGTCCACGGTCCGGGCCTGGTGGTACACTGACTGAGGCGTGTACCAGGGCCGGGTCTCACAGACACACTGCAGAGGACAGGAGACAGTGTCCCCTGGAGACACACATCAACACATCAGCTCCCGCTGAAACACCTGGACCTGGACCACAACACAGAACTGTGGTTTACCTGCGCTGGCCACGCCCACTCCACCCACTGATGATGTCATCAAGAAGAGGAGGAGCAAGGAGAGGACTGCAGGTCCCATGATGCACTGCACTCACAGAGGAGACGCTCAGCAGGAGACGCTCTGTAGGAGACGCTCAGCAGGAGACGCTCAGCAGGAGACGCTCAGTAGGAGACGCTCTGTAGGAGACGCTCAGCAGGAGACGCTCAGCAGGAGACGCTCTGTAGGAGACGCTCAGCAGGAGATGCTCAGCAGGAGATGCTCTGTAGGAGACGCTCTGTAGGAGACCCTCAGCAGGAGATGCTCAGCAGGAGATGCTCAGCAGGAGACGCTCAGCAGGAGACGCTCAGCAGGAGACACTCAGTAGGAGACGCTCTGTAGGAGACGCTCTGTAGGAGACGCTCAGCAGGAGATGCTCAGCAGGAGATGCTCAGCAGGAGATGCTCTGTAGGAGACGCTCAGCAGGAGATGCTCAGCAGGAGACTCTCTGTAGGAGACACTCAGCAGGAGACGCTCTGTAGGAGACGCTCAGCAGGAGATGCTCAGCAGGAGATGCTCTGTAGGAGACGCTCTGTAGGAGACCCTCAGCAGGAGATGCTCAGCAGGAGATGCTCAGCAGGAGACGCTCAGCAGGAGACGCTCAGCAGGAGACACTCAGTAGGAGACGCTCTGTAGGAGACGCTCTGTAGGAGACGCTCTGTGGGAGACGCTCTGTAGGAGACGCTCAGCAGGAGACACTCAGTAGGAGACGCTCTGTAGGAGACGCTCTGTAGGAGACGCTCTGTGGGAGACGCTCTGTAGGAGACGCTCAGCAGGAGACACTCAGTAGGAGACGCTCTGTAGGAGACGCTCTGTAGGAGACGCTCTGTAGGAGACACTCAGCAGGAGACGCTCTGTAGGAGACGCTCTGTAGGAGACGCTCAGCAGGAGACACTCAGTAGGAGACGCTCTGTAGGAGACGCTCTGTAGGAGACGCTCTGTAGGAGACACTCAGCAGGAGACGCTCTGTAGGAGACGCTCTGTAGGAGACGCTCAGCAGGAGAACCTCTGTAGGAGACACTCAGCAGGAGACGCTCAGCAGGAGACACTCAGTAGGAGACGCTCTGTAGGAGACGCTCTGTAGGAGACGCTCTGTAGGAGACACTCAGCAGGAGACGCTCTGTAGGAGACGCTCTGTAGGAGACGCTCAGCAGGAGAACCTCTGTAGGAGACACTCAGCAGGAGATGCTCAGCAGGAGACACTCAGTAGGAGACGCTCTGTAGGAGACACTCAGCAGGAGACTCTCTGTAGGAGACACTCAGCAGGAGATGCTCAGCAGGAGACGCTCTGTAGGAGACGCTCAGCAGGAGAAGCTCTGTAGGAGACGCTCAGCAGGAGACGCTCAGCAGGAGACGCACCTGGAAACAAAAAGAACTTTTCAGATTCACATACATTTTTTTAAAACTTGTTTTTATAAAATTAACAAATTAAATAATAAAGATCTTATCAATATATTCTTGTTTATGCTACAGAGTGAGGACTCTCCAGGTCTACACTTTTCTGCAGCTCTACTGTTTTCTACTAGTTAGGTTTACATGTTTGGTGTCAATTAGGTTTTGGTTCAGGTTATAGTTAGGAGTAGTCTAGTAATGGTTATGGTTAGTAATAAACTAGTAATGGTCAGAGTTAGTAATAAACTAGTAATGGTTATGGTTAGTAATAAACTAGTAATGGTTATGGTTAGTAATAAACTAGTAATGGTCAGAGTTAGTAATAAACCAGTAATGGTTATGGTTAGTAATAAACTAGTAATGGTCAGAGTTAGTAATAAACTAGTAATGGTTATGGTTAGTAATAAACCAGTAATGGTCAGAGTTAGTAATAACTAGTAATGGTTATGGTTAGTAATAAACCAGTAATGGTCAGAATTAGTAATAAACTAGTAATGGTCAGAGTTAGTAATAAACCAGTAATGGTCAGAGTTAGTAATAAACCAGTAATGGTCAGAGTTAGTAATAAACTAGTAATGGTTATGGTTAGTAATAAACCAGTAATGGTCAGAGTTAGTAATAAACTAGTAATGGTTATGGTTAGTAATAAACCAGTAATGGTCAGAGTTAGTAAACGGTGTGTGTTAGTTTTCAGTGTTTTGCTCTAATCACAGCCTGCAGAGGAGTTAACGAGGCGAACAGCTGCTTTAATAATTGATTTCACCTCATTAATATTCCATCTGCTGCAGCAGCATCAGGAGGAAACGGGCACTTTGGATCAGCTCTTTGGATCAGGACTTCTACAGACTCAGTTCTGAGGTGGTCTAGGTCCAGACTCTGTTTTGGGGGGAGCAGGTGCAGAAGAGGAGGTGCTTCAGAACCTGAACCCAGAGTCTCTGACATGAAGCTGGGTTACTGTGGAAACCACGTCTGTGACCCAGTTTCACTCACAGGAGCTCATTACGCAACGTCAAGACAGCTCATCGTCTCTCCTCTGCATCTTCATCTCTCAGGGAGGAGGAGGAGGAGGAGGAGGAGGAGAACCTTCCTCAGCTGCTTCAAGAACCAGTAATTAACAAACTGATCAAAGATCAAAGACTAAAACTCCATCAAACATCAGAGTGCAGTGATTTATACACCTTCTAATAATAAAAATATTAGGAAATTCATGGGTTCTTCTTATTTTCTGTGACATCTTTAAACCAAATAAACTGACAAATACACAATAAGACGAGTGTACTCAGTGAGTTTAAGTTGATCTAAAATAATAAAGATCATTTATTTATCTACAAAATCAAGTAAATCACTAACGCACAGCTTATTGTGAGATTAATTTCCTATAAAAAGTTTAACAATAAACTTTGAGGTTTAGATGTTAATAAACCATTTGTTTGTGTCACTTTTCTTAAGTTTTGTCAGGTTTAAGAGGAAAGAAAGGAGGAGGAATATTGTTCATTAATTTAACTTTAACCTTTGAAGAATGTGGATTTTAACAGACATCTTTCAAGGAATTCAGCCAAACCTCAGGTACGCTCAGTAACAAACAGCCATTACTTTGACCAGAGATAGGTTCACCACCACGGCTCAAGTCAGAGGAAAGATCGTCCAGTTGGTGAAGAACAAGTTGGAACCTCATCAGTCGGACCCTTTCCAGGCATGTTTACGTTACTCCTTCCTTCAGCGTCTTCTGGGCAGCTTTCAATCAAAGATCAAAGACGAAGCTCTTTTTGTATCCGTCTCAAAAACAGAAAACTTCCTCCATGTAAGTTTCAAACCAAACTTTTCTCTGTGAGTAACTTTGGTAAGCTCAAAACAGACAAGACCGACTGATGGTCTGAACTGGGCTGAGAGGTTCTGAGAGGTTCTGAGACCAAGGTCAAAGACAGGAGGAACTGTTTATTCCACCCTGAGGTGACCACTACACTTGTATTTATATCCATAGGACCTTGAGGGACTGCAGATGAAAATTAGCCTCCATGGCTAATTCTGGCATTTTCTGTAATATGCATTGTCCCGTCTTAAATAAATAAACAACAAACAAACAAACAAACAAACCAACAGGACCACATCGTCCACAAAAAGCAGAGATGTGATCCTGAGGTCACCAAAAAGGATCCCCTCAACACCTTGGCTG